TGTTAGCAGCATGGTTCTGTTAGCAGCATGGTCCTGTTAGCAGCATGATCTTGTTAGCAGCATGGTCCTGTTAGCAGCATGATCTTGTTAGCAGCATGGTTCTGTTAGCAACATGGTCCCGTTAGCAACATGGTCCCGTAAGCATAGGGGTGTCCAAGCATTTTCATAGGTGGGCCAGAACTGTCTAGACGAAAGGACTCGTGGGCCAGAAATTTATGAATTTAAGAAAAGAAAAAAGTTAAAAAAATGTGATTTTATCCCCCATTTTTTAAACTCTCAACAACTTGAACAATATTTTGGAGTAAGGCTAAAAGTTTAGTTTAAATTATTGCAGATGTAGAACATTAGGAGCCTCATACACATTCACCTTTATTTATTCATTAAATGAATGAATTAATTTATTTATTCATTAATTTATTTAAATAATTTAATTGAATACATTTTTTAGGTCTATTTTTTGTTTTCTTGTGCTTGGAAAGTTCATTTTTATTTACTTTCAGAGATAAAAGCCTAAAATGAGTAATTGTTCTTTAAAAAAAGGGTGGGGGGGGGGCATATTTCAAACTCCCATCTGGACCATGGACGGTCCAAATGGGTCATCAAAGTTCAGAAAAAAACTTAAAACAGATTCATGGAAGGTTTGAAGGGACACTGATAAAGTTGATCAACTTGTACTGTATGTCGATGATACCACTTTATATTCTTTTAAACATATCCAATGTCTATTCATAGACCATTTAATCAACTGAAATTATTTTCTTTAAAAACACTTGTCATATTTAGACACGTTTTATGAATTATTATCCAAAATTCTACTTTTTGGTAGGTCAGTAAATGTTTGTTGTAGGATAAAGGGTTTAATTATAGCTAAATATTTGTATTGTAGTTAATATTGCTCATTATGAGAAGATTATTTTAATCTGTTTTGCTGTTAAACCTAAACATTTTAAAAGTATCACCAATACAGTGATTCCTCACTATATCGTGGGTATTTTTTAAACACAGTTTTTTATATTGTGTGTACTGTACATGCTGTGCACCACTGTACATTCATCTCATCATCATCAGCTTCATTACAACCGCCAAATTGTTTAAGAGCATTTGAAGCATGAAGTGTTTATAAGAGAGTGGGAAAGGTTAATAAAACCTTAAATGCAGCGGTCCCTCGTTTATTGTGGTGGATCCGTACCCTGAAGACCCACAATAAGTGAAAAACCACAAAGCTGCCATTTGTGGATTTTAAGGACACATATTTAATTGGATTTTCGATAACTGGTTCCTGCTTTTTGGATTCGGCTGGTTGCTGGTTTTATCAATCGATCAAGGAAGTCGTCGGCAGCAAATTTGGACCCGATCACGCTGCTTGCCTTTATGAAGGCTCGGTTCATGTCTCGAGTACCCGGACTCAAATGCTTTGGGCAGAATGGATCAGATCTTGGGGATTTTACTCAGTCACGTTCCATCGGTGTGGCCATGTACTTTGGACATTTCAGAACCGAGTCGACCAACACAGACTCAAGGTTGATGTCATTAAGTTCTGCCTGTCCCCCAAAAAACTGTGTTTATCTGAATTTGGCTCCCTTGGCTGGCCTTGAAGGTCATCTTATCTGAATTTGCCTGGAGAACATGTGATCTGACGCTCACCACACCCTCCCTGAGGAATTTCCAACTGATAACCAGATGAAACCAGCTGAATAAACTTTCAGGACTCTTGGATCCTCATAGACGTTATTCTTGACCATTCCTCGACATCCCTCGAGAATGTTTATGGATCTCACTGGAGGACATCGACTGATTATTCCATCCTTATCAGAACTCTTACAGTGCCCTCGAGAACATCTATGAACATGCTGACCGCTCTCGTCGTCTCCCCTCTGCAGAATGTCTACGTCACTATATGCTTGTTTGTGCGAGGTGTTTTTTAATATCAGACTTTTTTTTTCCTGCCTGAGAAAAAAAAACTCTGATAGGAATTTTTTCGCCTCCAATTCCTACATGTGTCCAGTTTATCACTTTTATTGTCTGTCCAAACGGGTCTCACTTGTAAATGAGTCTTTGAGGCTCAATGTGATTTATCTGTTTAAATAAAGGTTGAATGGAAAAATCAGCCAATTGTGTGTCATGTCCAATATTATTTTGAAAAATCACGATAGAGCGAGTCCGCGATCAACAACCCATGACGTAGCGAGGGACTACTGCATATGTAAATAATGAAATAAATATAATGCCGCTACTTTGTGGATTTTCACCTACAGCGGGGGTCTCTGAACGTAACTCCTGCGGTAGGTGAGAGATCACTGTAAATCTAATGAAGGTCTACATCTGCATCAACCTCTAAAGCCTGTGGGTCAAAATTATACCATTGTTTAATTGTAGTCATGGGCCACAAAAAAATCAGTTCAAGGGCCACAAATGGCCCTCGGGCCATACTTTGGACACCCTGCCTTACTTTAAATAAAAGCACAAAGGAGAGTCAGAATATGAGATTGAGGTTCAAACGGTTGGTGATTTGGATAAAAGTCTGTAAAAAACATTATTTCAGAGGTAAAAACTAATGTGAAGCAGTCACCACAAGTCAAGCAAACTTTACAATACAGATGTGGTAAATAATCCCTAATCCTGAGCGTTAAAGCCAATATTTTCACTATATTTTCACACGAGGGCTGGTTTCCACCATTAGCAGTCCTCAGCATGAGTTGGCCCGAGTTAAACAGGTGGAAACTGACATCACCTGTTCCAGCATGTTCTGCAGTCTCTCAGACTCCAGGTCGATGACGAACTTCTTCTCCTTTCGCCGGTCCAGATCCTCCAGCAGCTGCCGGTAGTTGGCGTCGTTGAAGCTTTCCACACAGATGGCGCTGACCTGCCAGTTGTTCTCACCCGCCTTCTCCATGATGGCCTGCAGGATGGCGTATCCTGATGAAACCAGAAACACGAGGACGAGTGTTTTTATTTTGCACCAGTACATTTATCAGGACTCGTGCACTGTGAAGTACTGCTCCTGTTAATGTTGGAGGCAGAAAAGAACAACTTGATCCCAAACAATAATGTTGTAAACAAACTAAATTATTAAAATGAAAAGAACGTTTGTAAAGGTGCCGAACGCTGTCGACTAAACTTGGAATTAAAGATGGCCGATGCAGCTAACTGACCTAGGAAAGCATAAACATGGTTATAACTCAGTCACTTTTGCAATTGTGAACTGAATTTTGGTGTGGTGCGAGTTTAACACATTCTTAGAGCACAGCCATTGCACATGTTTGCTTGAAACCTTTGCATTAACTGTTGGAGTGTTTGTGTGTTAGCAAAATATCTCATAAACCACTGGATGGATTTCAACAAAAGTCTTCTACGGTAATTTTTATCTTTACGTCTAAAACTGATTAACTTTTGGTATCAACCAAATTTGAGATAGCTACCACAGCTAACACAAAACTGGCTACAACCCAGTTAATTTAAAAGGATTTTGAGCTAAAACTGTGTGTGGTAGTAGCTGACAGTCTTTCACAACACATAGTCCAAGAACTAACAAATCAAGTGAGACTGTAATTTCTCAACATACGACGGTTTTGGTTTAAAAATCTTCATGAAAAGCAGCAGGCGCCTTTTAATTCTTCTGTTTATTTATCACTAAAACACCATGTGTTTCCTCGAAACATTAAGAACATCCTGTAAACATTTCCTACTCAAAACATTTGCAGAACTAGAATTTAAATATCTTAAAATGTGCATTTTGTTATAGAGCATCTTTGCCTTCTGTAGATCCGTGTGCCTTTTATTAAGCTGCAACTGGAAATTACATTTAAAATATAACCCGTTTTATTTTAGAAGATAACTTAGTTAAACATTTAGATTAAATGGGCTACGTTTGGGCTTTATGAATAATAGTGGTTAAATATAAAACAGTACATGTATAACTACATGTTTGAACAAATGTTAGCTGTTAAAATAACCAGCTTTTATCGTAGTTTTAGCACTGAATGTATTTTAGTGTCGGTTTATGGATCTGTTTTCCTGATCAAACTAAAACAAACGTCCATTTTAAAGTTTGGCACACCAGAATCTGTGAAGCGATAAAACATATTGCCTAAATTTACTCATTCCAATAACAAACTGCTTTTTGTTGGCCCAACTTTCCTGGCGGAACAACACTGTTTCTCGTCTAAAGGAAGCTCCTCTCCAACTTTTATCTTTTTCCAGCCAGATCCCGGTTTCAGGTCCAGTCAGGGGAGACAATAAAAAGGAAAAAGTTGGAAGTAACGGCAGACTGTGGGTCGCTGTCAGGTTGTGCATGAAGAAGATGAGTGTCACAGAGGAAGCTTGGGAGCTGTGAGGGCGGCTGTTCTCCAGCAGGAACAGATGTCCCCCTTAAACGGCCCCTCCTGGTGGCCCTCGCAATCTGGCAACCCGTCTCCCTTTGCTCCCAATTAGTGGATTAACCTGTGTTGTGGCAACCCGGCTCCCTCTCAACCTCCTCTATCCCCTCCTTAGCCCCTCGCTCCCCATTAGAGAGTAGTCGGTGCCAAGAGGGACTAACAGGGACACAGAAAACACTCACATGAGCATGAATCAAGTCAGAATATCTCCAGCTGTACTCGGGGGGAGAAATGCTTCATGACATTTTAGCTGCTGGGAGGAGAGTTCCCCAAATGGGACAGCATTGTCTCCAGTTGGAAGTGAAGACAAATGAGTTTGTGTTAAAAACAGGAAGCTGACGTCTTTACTGCACACATGCAGAGTGTCACAGAGGAATTTAAAACATTTTAATAACTGAGTAGTTTTGGCACTTGCCACCAACCTGTATGGTGTCAAGCTCTGTTTCTGTTTAAATGCAAAATATTAAACATTTATTGTACTGGTTTGTGTAGGGCCATGGTAGCTTGGTGGTCAGTGCCACAATCTTGTAATCCTGAGGCTGCAAGTTCGAGTCCATGTTGAGTGAAGAATGGCACCCGGCGTAAAACAATTGACGAACCCTCAGTGCGACTCTGTTCACCGTCGCTGTCCCTGAAATAGGTAGCAGCTAAAAATAAATAAATAAAATTGTTATTTTGTGTAAACTAGGTAAAAAACTAGGTAGGTAGGTTTATGGGTTGGGTTGTTGGTTAAATAGATGGTTACGTAGGTAGATGGATGTGTTGATTCATGGGTAGGTAGGTAGGTGAATGGATGGATGGTTGGATGGATGGATGGATGAATGATGGTTAGATGGATGGATGGATGGTTGGATGGATGGTCAGATGGTTGGATGGATGGATGGTTGGATGGATGAATGGTAGGGGAGATGGATGATGGGGGATGGATGGTTGGTTGGATGGATGGTTGGATGGATGGATGAT